TGGAAACTTAATATTTGAAAAAGCAGAAATGGAAGAAGTACAAGTTAAAAAGATTTTTGTTTTCAATGCCATAAACAATCTTTTTGTTTTATTAACTTTTAAGAATGCCTTTTTCTTATTGTATATTGTAATTAATATTAAGCAAGATGTTGTGGTAATATTTATGCACATGTACAATCCTTTTAAAAACCTTTTCTGACCATCTAGAGCAGATGAGTGTTGGGCTCTAATTACTAACATAATTTGTACCATTGATACACCCATCACAACAACTGGACATATGTATACTTTGATTGCTGACGCATCTAAGCAAATCTTAACATAATCTTGACACTTTATATTTTTGTATTTTATTTTTTAAATAATATAATACAACAGAACAAGTAAAAATGAAAAACATTTTAGAAAACAATAATTTCAAAGTTATCTATACTTTGAAATGTAAAAAAATAATTTCAAAGTTATCTATTATTAGAAATGTAAAAAAAAATTTTTTTTTTACAAAAATAAGTGGGGCATGGCGCCAGTGCCACGAGCTATGAACCATCTGGTCGTCTCTTTGGAAACAATTTTAATATGCACAATAGTTGGTTTTACAGAAATGCCAAAAGTTTCAGAGCTCCAGGTAGTCTGGAAAAAGGTAAAAAATCAACATTCCGCAACAAAAAAGAGGGAACCATGCAATGTTATCCATATATGGAAATCTATATACTTGCAGAACAAGTCTTTATATTTTTAAAATATCAATGAATATAGGTGTATTTTTTTTTATATCATCAAAACGACATGGGTTTTTTGAGCATTAAAAATAGGTATTTAAAAAATTGCCTAAAATTTTTAAAATATCACTTTATATCACAAGATTTTGCTACATTTGATGTAAAATAAAAATTCCTCAAAAATTTTTTCATGATCTTGAAAGAATTTTATCATTTTTAAGGAATGAAAGATCCTGAAAAGAATCCTGAAACAATTTTTTATATATTTTACTTTTAACAGATGTTGGCTGGGCCCCTCTTGTTTCCTTAAAATTGTTCGTTTAGAGGTTTAAAGCTACATAACTTTAAAAGTATTTGATCTTAAAAAAAATTTGAATTTTTTTTACTTTTTTACCTGGCTATAATTCTTATTTTACTATGTACTCTCAACTGTTTGAAAATCAGCAAAATCTGAGATTTATGGTGACATGACTGAGATGTATGGGTCATTTGACATGGTATTATCCAATGGAGTTTTAATTTTAAAAAAATTAAAATAGCTTATGCTATTCTTTGTAATGTTGCTGTTGTTTTCCAGATCTTTGTTGACATGTAAGCATCTAAGTAACTAAAATTATTATAAGAAAAAAATTGTGGTGTTTTGAAGGCCCAAAAATTGGGTTATATAAACTTGTTGTTTTAATAATTTTAAAAATATTCCTTTCTTATTTCAGCATTACAAGTACATTTTTTGAATACTGCATCAAAAAATAAAAATTACAAATATTTATTTTTATATTTTTGTTATTATTGTTTATTTTATTAGGCTGAATGCTTTTTCAAAATGTCATTAAAACCGGGTCATTTTAGGAAATAAAGCAAATATAAAAATTGCTATATTTTGATAACTGCTAAACATTTTTAGCTGATATTTTTCATTTTGCGTGCAATGTTTTTTTTAACAAATAGCAATCATTTATAAAAATATGAAACAAAAAGAAAACCACGCATGATTCAATGGACTAAATGATTTGATGATGAAGTACCCAAAACAGTATAACCAATTTAATGTTACAACAAGATTTATTTAATTTGAAATGAAAGACATATTTTTAAAAACAGATAAAATAAACTTTTTAAACTGTAGCTGTTATGTTTTAGAAAACAATATTATGTCTAAATTGGAGTTTTAAGGAAAACTGGCAAAGTATTTTGAGATATATTTAAGTTTTTGCAATAAATTGCTTATGTTTTACCAATTTATTGCAGACAATAGTAATTAATCAGAAAACTTACCTGTAAAACCTGTAAAAGAATAAAAAAAAACTTGAGTTAACTTCATTTTGGCATTTTTTAGAGAGTTTCAGAGATTTTTAAAGTCGAGGAGAATATAATTTAAACATTATCCAATAGAATATAAGTTAATAAAATACACACTTTTAAAAATAGAACTACCCTGATAATAGTTCTAGAAAATTGTGTCTTTAAAGTAGATTTTTATATTACTGAGGGAATATATTGTCATGTAAAAAAAGGTTATAATTTCTAAACTGTTACAATTTAACCTAAACAATGCAGATAAAAAAAAAATTATATAAAAATTAATATTAAAAGGACTTAAAAATGATGCTTAAAAATTAATAAAATAACATTTTTATATAACTCAACTTTAATCAATTTTTTTTTTATAAATTACTATAAAGAACTTGAAAAAAAAACAAGAGAGATCTAGCAGATACAATTAACAGTTTTGTGATTAATATGTCAACCAATTTTTAGCATTTTAAAAATATTTTTGTTTTCTGGAGGTCCCAACAAAAAAAGTGGTTGCCTGTAGCCTAGTTGGAGTAACTTAGTTAAAAAAAAGTTAGTTAAAAAGATTGTTCCTTCCTTTATATTTTAGCAACTATGAGAATTAATGAATGTAAAACTCAGTTTAAATAAAGTTGTTTTTTGTTAATATATTTGTGCTTGAAAACCTTTTATGAACAAAATTTTATTTTAAATTTTCCACAGCTGCTTTCCAAAATGTGCATATTAGAACCTTCAAAGAATTTTTCTTGAAAAATGATGTAATCATCAAACCTGATTTCAAAAGTGCCACTACACTACTATTGCATGGTAATTCCATATGAAATCATCCAAAAAAAAAAAAACAATTTTGGCACCTTTACGGTTTAGAATTTGTTTATTTTTACCTCACTTGCAGTCCATATTAAAAAAATAATAATTGTAAAAATTTTAGTTAAAAATACACATGGGTTCCAGAGATATTGACAGTTAAAATATTGCTGATTCAGCATTTTATCTAAAGCGACTACAATGCAACATATAGTATCATCATTACGGCTTGGGAAAATTCATAAAATTTAGTACCCAAAAGATTTTTACTTGCGGAATCCAAAAAGAGCACTCTATTTAAATTTTTATTCAAACAAATGATTTAAAAAACATTTCAATTGCTTTTGCTACAAAATAAAAATTTTTCTAAAAAGACAAAATTTTTAAACACAAATTTTGATCAAATATTAGAGAGTTAATTGATGAATCTAATTTTATTCAGTAGACCTAAGATAAAAATAATGATATGCAATTGAATTTTTTATTCGAGATTTTGGGCCACAGTCTTCATTTTACCTCCAAATATCATGAATTTACTAGTCAATAATTTTGAACAAAATTGGATAAACAAGATATTTTTGAGATAATCGAGTCTTGAGGGTGCTTTTTCTGGATTCCGCAAGTAAAAATCTATTAGGGTACTAAATTTTAGGAAATTTCCCCTAGCCATTATGAAGATACTATATGTCAAAGTTGCTTTGAAGTCGCTTCAGATAATTACTAAAATGCTGAGTTAGCATTATTTTAACTGACAATATCTCTGGAACCCATGTGTATTTTTAACTAAAATTTTTGCAATTATTATTTTTTAAATATGGACTGCAAGTGAGGTGAAAATGAACAAATTCTGAGACATAAGGGTGTCATGGTCTAGATGATTTTATGCAGAATGATCCTGCAGATACAATAACCAAAAACAAATATGTCATAAGATATTGTTTACAGAAAAAAAGCCTCAAGTGAGTTAAAATGATAACTTTTAATACGTTTATTTTAAACTTGTTCTAGTTTAACTGCAAGCGTACTTACTAACCAATCATTAAGAGTAGTGAACACTTTTAGAGCAATGGACATTTACAAAGGATTGTTATTAATAAACTTTTTACAGGCTGAAAATATATAAAAGTGTCACTTTGGTAATTAATTCCCCTAAAACCACCTAGAAAACAAATAGTCTATTTAGATATTCATTATCTAGTTAAATCATAAATGTTTAACAATAAAAAAATATTCATAACAGGACTGGAATTTATTATTGTTAGCTACCAAAATAAAGATTTATTTATCATTACTATTTTAAGTTAAACAGTTAAGATTGGTACAAATTGTGATAGTACTACATCTAGAAATTATAACATACTTAGTAAATCCAATTGTGATACTGCTACATCTAGAAAGTATAACATACTTAGTGAATCCAATTTTGATATTGTTACATCTAGAAATTATAACATACTTAGTGAATTCAATTGTGATACTGCTACATATAGGAGTTATAACATACTTAGTGAATCCAATTAACATCTTTTTATTTTATTTTATTGTGTTTACACTTTTAAAGTCAAACTTGCCACTACAAAGAAATCTTTAAATAAAGACAGAAAGACATATTTTCTGAAATATATCTAAAAACTAAAGCATCATGTCACTAAATTTAAGCAACAAGAATACTGCACCTTGACAACAAGCAATCTTTTTGTTAATGATATTACCATCGACGTGGAACCTAATTTATAGTTTTATAAAATAAAACAGTTAATTACAATTTTTGTTTTATCTATATCAACTTTATAAAAATTTATTTAAAAAATCCCTGATAAATGCAAAACTTAAGATATCAATACAATAAACTTTTGTTATATATCAGTAAACTATTAAGTGAGCATTGTATAAAAAAGATTTTTATACAATGATCACTTAATAGTTTACTGATAATTTGAAGCAACCAATAAGATATAAATTTACATAAGCCAGTAACACAATAAACAAAATTAATGATTAGTAACAACAATAAAATAAGCAACTTAATTAGAAAAAGATTAGCAACTGAAGTAAGTAGACATAAAAATTTAATGAAAAAAGTTGAAGTTTTAATGTAAAAGTTAAAACTTAATGAAATGAATATAAAAAACTTTTACTATTTTTAAAGGAAACAAAGGAAAAAACAACTAAAATAAATAC